GTCATTTGCTCCCAAACGATGAGGTTTTTCGAGTCGTGTGGAGAGCACTTTTTTGTGTAGTATTTTATAGTGCCTAAAATGAAGTATTGTTTTTGGTGACTTTGACGTTTCAAAACAGATATGAGGAAAATTAAATTTGGATTACACGTAGTGTCATTTAGTGGCGAAGTCGAAAACCAATTTTTGTTCAAAAAGTTAGAGATCACTATTGGATATTAAACGCTGTACCGATTTTCAATTTGATTCGGCAAATATTCACATTTCGAATTTTTGCTACTTGACTGTCTCCCATTATTTTAGCGTGTAGAATCACCCGTAAAAGTTTCCTAACGCATTTTCCGAACACCCAGTATAACTAAGCCTGACGTTGACAGTGGAGGCGTATGGCCAATGAATGACAGTTGCGACTTACGTCAAACTTCAACAGCGGCAGCCGCCTAGATGCACCTTACCAATATTGTCTGTTTGAGTGAGTTTGGGCTCCTTGCTCTGTTGCTAATTCCATGCGAAAGAAGTTAGTTTGGTTTGTTGAGTCGTTAGGAAGGTGATGAATGTTTCTCTGGGCAAATGGGCAAATCAAACTCGTCGCAAGAAACCGACAGTCATCGATATTAAATCCAAGACGTATGCCGGCAAAAAACCGTTCAATTTCATGTTGGAAACGTGAGAATGCCATTAAGTAAACCGTTTTTTTCTGTAGATACAGTGCAGCCAAATGAACAGTTGCAATCAACGTTTGTTCGAGGCATTTTAGCGTGAAACGGCGCTCTCTATCTGTTAGCCACAAATGTTGTGTGGGTTTGTGGATCTGAAACTGATCGTTTTGATCAACCAAGCACGCCACTGAACGGGTGGTTTGGTTGCTAGCTAACTGATAACTTCCAAATGAAAAGAATCCTGCTTAAAACTTGGATGGAGAGTAACAGGGTCCGTTATTATCGGGGCTTCCGGTGCCCAGTTTTTCATCATCGTCGAAGACATTCGCATGCCTCGAACTAACTAGACTCCATCAATTGAGGAATATTTTCGATTAGTGGCCGTGGGTCAACAAACAATCGCAGATGATCGATCGCTCAATAGAGGCCATCACGGCCAACAAAAGAGATCGATACCTAATTCGTTCATGGTTTAAATTAAAAGTGCTACTGGGTACTGGCTGGACGGGGCCGCCGGCACTCCTATAAAAAATATCAAATTAAAATTAAGCTGCATCATGTCGGATGGGTACCCGGTTTTACATTGTTGTATTACTTCACTGTGTATAGTTCGGGCCACTTTTTGTGGGGAGCGGCACCGTGCTCTCCACACGAACCTTCGGTCTAAAACGGCTGGATCATGCCCTGGGCACTCTCACTTAAAAATATAACCGAGAACGACTGATTTCATAGTCGCCAGAGGCGCTACAGACGATAAGGAGCTACAGATTAAATCATGAAATAACCCGCTGTATGAAAATATTCTGTGGATGAATGCGATAACGCAAGTCAAATGTCAAATAAATCTTCCCCATTGTTGCTTATGGGTTTGTCATGGACAAGATGTCTGTCGCTGTTGTTTATTCGCTATCATCCAAAGAAAAAGCCTCTGCCGATTTTATTCATTTCTGACGATATAATCTGTGATAAGTTGTATGATTTCGTGCCTCATGCTTCCTGCACATACTGGATTGTGATATGTTTCCCCATGTTACGTAATTTGTGAATATTTTGTTGGGTAAGTCGAAATCACTTAGCTTATTATTCAGGTGGCATTTTCATCAAGAAACAAATAAATGGAAAACAGGATATTTTTCTCATTAGAGCTAGTTCATAGCATCAGGTTGCTCACCGCTGAAACCCGTACTTTACACCTCTGTATTATGTAGAATTACAGATTAGTATTTAAACAGAAACCTCTGTTCAAAATGAACAGTGATATTTTCATATTTTCAGATTATCTTTTTCCTTATCTGTTTTCATAAATCGTCAATAATCTGCGAAGATGGTAGCTGTTTATTGGTGTCTTGAAGGCAGTCAGAAAATGCACGGCTTCCTATCACAAAAGGCGTATGTTTTAAAGTTGTTCCTAAAAATGCTCCAAAGATTTTTTCATCTGTAAAAAGTATTTATATAAGCAATAAACAACAAGTAATATATATATTTATATGTATTTTTGTGTAGTTGTGTCATTTATCCCTATTATCAGCTGCCCCTTGCGACACAATTAAAA